CCCTTTCCCTGCTCCAGAGCAAGTGCTTCTGTCTCTGTCCTGAGACTAAAATGCCTGCAGTGACTGCTGCTGCCAGGTCACCAATGACTGACTTTGCAGGAACACAGATTAAAAATGGCAATGTCTTCTCAGTTCTGGGTCTGGGAAACACCTGCAGATTTTCCTGGTGTCTTTCCCTTTCATCACCTTCCAGCCTCCCTGCAAGTAAGTTCCAGCATTTGGGGCCTGGATCTCTAGCGGAAAGGAGATTCAGAGAGGGAGACTCTCTGGCCCTCTCACACACTGGAGGCTTCACCCGTTTTGATAAGCTGAACACCATCATGGGGCCTGCATTCCCACCTCCTTCACTTGGGATCTGAAGTGTGTTTCACTATTTCAGTTAATTCCCAGATTTCTTCTTGAATTAAAGCTCACAGAATTGATCTTTATACACTATTTTGCTATTTCCAAGTGGCTGAGGCATGATAAAGCCTCTAATCTGCCATCTTGGCAAAACACACACACACACACACATTTGTTTTAAAAAAAGAAACAAAATGATAGTTTTATTTATTTGTGAATTTATATCAATGGAATCATCCCATAGTACTTATTTACTGTCAAATACTTTCATTTAATGTGTCGTGATATTCAGTCAAGTTGTTGCAGACAGCAATAGTTGTTATCTGTTTCTTAGTGTTTCACTTTATGAGCATTTTACAATTGTTTTATGGTACTGCTTCAAACATTTGCGTTGCTTCCAGTGTGAGGCTGTTTTGAATAGTGCTGTTATGTACATTCCAATACGTCTTTTTGCTATCACAAAGTATTGCTGCATTTCTGTTCAGTACATACCTACAGCTGCAATTGCTAGATATGCATGTATTTACTTTAAGTAAATTCCACCAAAGGATTATCCAAATGGTTGAACTATTTTACTAACTTTTCTATGAGACTGTGATTGTTTCACTTTCTTGTCAACAGACAACATGATCTGTCCTTTTTTCATTTGAACCATTCTGATGAGTTATATAATAATATCTAATTGAAGTTTTAATTTGTATTTCCATAAAGCTTAATGATGTTGAGCAATTCAAGTTTGCATTGTCAGCAGTGATTCTTCATTTGTGAAAGCCTAGTTTATTTTGCATATATAAGCACACAGTTGGCTTTATTTGTTTTTAAAACAATCACAGGTATATAGAAGAACTGCTTGTTCTTATAAATAACTGTTTTACACGGAACCTTTTGAAAGTAAATACTGACCTGATTCCAGATAGTTGAAGTATTTTAGTATGTATTTACTCAAAACAATGTGCTTCTCTTATATAACTATAGTAAAACCATCAGGATCAGAAAATCAATGTTAATGCATTGGAACTTTCTAATTCTTCTTCCTGTTGGTGTTTTACCAAAAGTCCTAAAATATATGCTTTTTGTCCCTCTCATAATTCAGTTCAGAATCCAGAATCTCGTGCCACAACTAGCTGTCACATCTCTTTCATCTACTTCAGTGTGGAGCAGTGCTTTAGTCATTACTTGACTTCCAAGACATTGCCACTTTTTGAGAGTATAGGCTGAATATTTATAAAATGTCCCTCAATTGAGGCCTGTCTAATGTTTTTTAATAATTAAATTGAGCAGATGAATCTCTGCCAGGAATATCACAGAGGATACTTTTCATTTCTGAGTGATAGATAATTTCAATGTGTTTCATTAGAATGATGTCATTTGATTACTAGGTTCAGATAGTGTGTGGCTGTCTTCTCCATTGTAACTATGTTCTTCTCAACTATGTAATTTAGATCTATTCTGTGGGTAGATTCTTTGAAATTTTGTAATTATTGTAAACTAAAAATAAATCCCAAGCCTGCTTGGACAAGGGAACCCCAGCAAAACCTTAAAAACTGTATTCCCGGCCATGAGAGGATGGGAGATCAGACATGTCTCTTTAGACCCCCTCCCTTTTGTGGTTGACACAAAACAACTCATCAACATTAGTGTTAAAATAGAGACCATGAGACTGATGGGGTGGACTCTTTGTGGCAATAAGATACCAACTTATAAATAGGACCTAAGGTCATGGCAGGCAAGAGTTAGGTCATTCACCCCCACACTTAAAGAATAAACTGTGTTCTAACTGGCTCAAGATTTTAATTTTTCTCTAGCAACTATACAAGCACTGGCCTCCACCAGATGCCCACCTCGACCCACTGTTCCACAAGCCATAGCTACAGCTTTCGTTGGACAAGAGACTGATTTCAGTAACCTTATTCCGATAAGAGGACCACTGAACCTGCTGTAGTGGTTCTGACTGTTTACAGAGGCTTTGTGCTTGAGTGCCCTCATGTCCCTGCTCAATTTTTTCACCTATGGGGTTAAAGATGAGTGGGTCAGTGAAGAAATGGAGGTTAAGTGTCTAAATTCATGCCTCTGTTTTGGTATCATTGTGAACACTAAATAAAAATTTGAATATTTTTTTGCTTTATGTTTTCAACTTAGAGTCAAGTATGATATATACTAATCATATTGCTAATCATATGTTCTGAGTTTTATTCTTCTTTCTCCAAACAAGAACAAAATCCTTGGAAAGTCTCAACAGATTACATTATTTTTCCAATTTCTATTTCTTGTTTTACACTTATCATAAATGCACCAGTAAATTGATTCTGTGGCCCTGAAGTAATTAGCCTCATTTTATCTGCAAATAATACACAACTGAACTGATTCTCTCAATATTTCCCTGAAGGTTGTTTCTTCCCTTGGACAGACTTTTCCTGTTACAAAGCCAAACTTTCAGTAACTCTAGATGGCAAACATTAAGAGACCTTCCTTACCCTCTTCTCCTTTGTCACTCTCTCTGCTTATTATTATGAGGACAAGACTGGCCTCCTGGTGCTCTCTTTTCTTTTATTTCTTGCATTATGCTCAAAAGAGGGAAAGTCTGAGAACTGAACCAGCAATTAATAACACTTTTTATTTAGCACATTCACAAAAGAAATGGATCTAAATTATCACTCATTAATCACTTTTCTGTGTTTTACAGTGATAACATATTAAAAAGTCAGCATCAGAAAAGTATTAGCATATGCGACAGTCAATACAAGTGTTACAAGTATGAATAATTACAGATATATTTGTACAGTGACCTGAACAACTCTCCTTAATGGAGGTTGGATGCTCACGGGATATTGAGTGCATGGGAAGATGTGATGAGAGGTCAGAGAAGACATAACAGTGGGAATGTCGTTGATAAAAAGGAGTTTCAGGTGATAGCAGATCGGCAGCCAGATGGGCTAGCATTCTTCAGACAGGAATGAAGCAGATCTGGTACGAGGGTGGCAGAGAAATAATTCCTCTGGTAGCTGAAGTAGTATTGAGGTTCTTTAAATCAGCAACAGGTTTCAGGTTAAAGTTCTGTAAAATTGTGGTTAGAAATAAAAATAGCTCCATGCGGGCAAGTCCCTCTCCTGCACAAATTCGTTTTCCTGAAGATAACAAAGAGAGGAAGTAGTTACTCCTTGTGTTTAACTGTGACTGTGACAGTATGTTTGTGACTTGCACAAACAGAATACACAGTAAATAATTGATTAATGATTGGGTAGATGAATGAACATGTGGATGAATGGATGGATGAAATGATGGATGGATTAACGGATGGTAGGACAAACAAATGTACAAAAAGAGACACATTTGCTATCCGTCTAACATCTAATCTCAATAGGCACCCTTCATTCAGCAAATATTCATTGATTATCAGCGCCATAACAGCCGCTTCCTTATTTATTTCCACATTAAAACAACTCTGTTGCCATTTTGAGTTTCCATCTGTCATTATAGAAATACATGCACATTCTTGTTTCCTGTTCCAAGCCTGATATTCCATGATCTTTCCTTCCACTTTTCACATAATCTGTTCGCAACTCTAGTCATACACACTCTTCATCAATCTTGAACACACCAAGAAGTTTCAAGTTTCATATCCTGTTGTTCGTTTTGGCTAAGATACATCTTTATTAGGCTACATTCAGGACATAGGTTCGATTTCATTTCATCTTCACACTCTTTACAATTGTCTCAAGAAATAAAATCCTATGCTCTCTGGTTTTCCTCAACATCATACTCATGTTTTCATTAAAGCATGGATCACCAGGAATCATAATTCTGTATTTATTTATCTATTGTGCTAAAATGTGAATTATTGAAGGAAGGTCTCTGTCTTTGTCATCTTGGTATCTACAGTGCCAAATATAAAGCAGACATAAAAGATCAAAGAGTAAAGGAAGGAGATTCCATGGCCAGAGACTTAGCACACAAAGCACAGGTGTGAAAATCAAGTATCCAGGATATATGATCATGATTGGAGGAAGACAGGGTGCTGTGGAATCACTGCAAAGTAACCTCCTCCCTTGCCAATGTTTCTGGAACCCCATATTTTTTTGGCAAAGGTTCTGACATCCTTGATCTAAAGCAAATATCCTGCTCTGTAATTCATTATCTCCTTCAAAATGCCCAGCCTTCCCTTAAATTGTACCACCTCCTTTGAAGCACATCAAACATCCTCTGAGTTTCTTACTCCATTTTATGCCTCAGTGTGTTGTATGAGAGAGCAAGAAGCATGCAGATTCCCCCTCTAGCCCCTACCCAGGGGCCTGTGCATTCCTCTCTCACTGTCCTGGTCTGACTAAATTACAACGACCTGTTTACTCTTCTTCCCTAACTCAGGAGTGAGCCTCTGTTCTCACTGAAAGTTGTGCCCTTGGAGCTCAGCCTGGGAGGTGACAGACATCATGTAGAAGACACTCAATGCAGTTGTGGACTCAGATACATTCGCCAAGGCAGGTAAGGACAGATCAGATGAATTTTACTTTCCAGGAGGAGCTCTTGGGTACTTTAGTGATGTATCTAGTGGCAGAGTTCAGTCAACCTAGATGTTAGTTTTCTCAGTTGGGAACAATAGGGTTAACTCCTGGAAGCCCCACTATCTGGCCCAACAATGAGGGTATATTGTGAGGGTGGAGCGCATGGGTATTGAGAGTGGTGCTCTTGATCATGGACAAATAGCAATTCTACCAGCCCCAGATGGGGTGCCATGCAAATTCCAACTGATTCCAAAAAGTTCTCTCTTTCCTTCAAATGCAAATGGAAACAAGATTCTATTACCTGCTGAGAAAGGCATGAAGTAGTCACTTTTCTTAAAGTTGCCATTCTCATCCAGAAAGTGGCCAGGGTCAAAGATCTTGGGATTAGGGAATTCTTTGTCATCGTGCAGCACGGAAGTGAGTAATGTTATTATGATTGTGCCCTGGAAGTAAAAAAACAGATAATCTGATTTATAAAGAAGTCCAGAAGTGAGAAGAAGTAGTGGACATCACATAGCCCCATATCATTGATCAATAGATGAGGGAACTAAGGTCCAGCCAGACATAGTAATTTACATGGATGAGCTAAAGGCCAGTGGTGGAAGCTTGCTAAAGAGCTTTCCAATCACATTTGAAGTCTTACATCTTGGATACTTGTGTGCAACCCTCTGAGTGTGTTCTCTAGATCATCAAGTTTCGATGCCCTTGTCTGTCCCCATCACTTCAAATTTCACACATCTTGTATTTAGATTATGTAGATTACGGTTTAAAATGGAAGTCTCTGTTGACACTTGAAATGTCCAGAGTATCTGTTCATGGAACTTTTGTAAATAAACGTGTAATCTATTTTAATATGATGTCATCTGGGATGATAACCACAAGTGCAATAACCAGTAAAAACCATTGAGTGTTTATTATTGCCATGCTACAGATTAATTTTAGCTTAAAACACTGAAAAGATGATGAAATTAGAAAGATTATCACTTTGCTACAATTCAAGTCAGGATCATCAGGTCAGGTAAGGATCATCAATTAAAGCTAGAACCACTGGGTGTGTCATTCTGGAAGCAGGAGTTTCACATAGTCTTAATGTACTCCCATAGACTTTTACTAGTTGTGTATAAAAAGCAGAACCCCTACAACGGTAAGATCTGGAGGACACCACCATATTATGTGAGGAACTTAGCATGACCAATAATGACATATGTGACATTTTATGCTCCCACCTCATCAATGTGATTCAGTGGGATATTCAGTGGGATTCAGCACCTATGTAGTTTTCTTGCCAAAATTCTAGCTGGAATCTGCCTCTAGAAAACAGTCACACAAAACTAGCCTGAGGAACATTTTAAATGACTGCTGGTCTCAAAAAGGTCAACTGATGGAAAAGAAACAAACAAGGAAAGGAACTTTCCTTGATTACAGGAGGTGAAAACGTCAACATAAGTGAATTATATGCTTGTTCCTTGCCTGGATAGTAAACTGCAGAAGAAAAAAGGCATAAAAATATTCTAGAAAAATTGAGAAAATTGAAATGTAGGCTGTATTATTATTTGAACAATAGCTACTGAGTGTGAATACTCTGTTATTGTGTATAAGAAAAATCTTTGTTTTGGGGCATACATACTGCAGTATTGAGGTGTAAATAAACCCTTGTATTGAGAAAGAAAAACCTCTTCTGATTGTGTGCTTTGGTAAAAACAGTGTGGATTGAAGTCCTAATCCTTGTAAAAAATCAGTGATAATTAGGGAAAACCCCATCACATCTTGATAAGTTATGAATTCTGTCTTCTCTGGAGGATAACATTAGTAATTGAAATCTTATCAGTCTCATTGTTTTCCTTCATGAAAATATAACTTTTATTACTTTTAATTGAATAATAATAAGTGGAATTGTGTAGTTTATTGCATAGCAACTAAAACATCTGGGTGAATACAGAAACCATATGATAGACAGCATTGTAAAGCTGCAAAGACCAAAATTGGCTTCAGATTACAAAGACAGTAACTGGCCCCAGTGACGGGAGAACTTCAGAGGGGTGAGCTCATACCTACAGTCAATTTTTGACTGTGTTCATGTCATATTCAATTCTGAATCGGGACAGGAGGTGTTGTCATTATAACTGCCTATGAGAAGTGAATGAATCCATTCTGGAAAAAGATAAACACTCTCTGAAATTCTGCATTTTTTCATATATAATATCGGGTACTGAGCCATAGGGTTTTAGGCATTTGAAAGACACAACTAAGCAGTCACAAGAAGAAAAGTGGAAAGAAGGGAAAGCAATGAAAACAGACCCACATTAGGGAACATTTCTCAACTAGTTTTATGCAGCCAGCATTATCTTGTTATCAAAACTCTGAAAAGAAAATGTTGAGGAAGAAAAATTGCAGACCAAAATATCTTATGAATATAAATACAGAAGTCCTGAACAGTAAGTAATGGAGCAAATCCAGCTGTTTGTGTATACTTTGTATATTTAGTGAGGGATGTGAGGCCAGTATATACAATCATATATTTAGACGCAGAGAATCAATTTGATAAAATTGCACACACATTCATGACAAAAATTTATATAAAAATAAGAGAAGAGGAAAAACTTCCCTAATCTGATAAAGAATATCTCCTAAAATCTTAAAGATTTCTGATAAAGAATATCTGCTAAAATACTTAAAGCATCATTCTCAGTAGTGAAATATTAATATTCTTGTAGTCTACCCCCCAGCAGATCAGAAATGAAATAAGGATGCCCTCTATCACCAATTCTATTCAATGCTATCCTGGAAATCCTAGCCAGTGCAATAATGTAATAAAGATAAATTGAAGATAAAATCATTGGAAAATAAGAAATAAAATGCATATTAACCTAGATAGCAAAATAATGTACATAGAAATTCCAAATATATCTATAGATAAATTATTAGAAATGATCAGTAAATTTAGGAAAGTTATTAGATATAAGGTCATCAAAATAGTATAATTGAATACAATTACATATACCAATTACAAAGAAATAAAAAAGCATTAAAAATTTATAACAACAAATTATTAATTATCTAGGAAAAACCTGATAAAAGAGTTGTAAGTCACTGCACTGAAAATAAAACATTACTGAGAAAATAGAATAAAACTCAATAAGTTGGGAGCATAACCATATTCATGAATTTAAAAATTCAATGCATGAGGCTTGCTCTGCTGGGCTCCCTGCCTCCGCACCACAGCCCCTGCGGTAGCCGCCTCGGAGCCCGCAGCTACTGCCTCTGAGCAGAAGATGGCTGTGCCACCCATGTATGCTGATCTTGGCAAATCTGCCAGGGATGTCTTCACCCAGGGCTATGGATTTGGCGTAATAAAGCTTGATTTGAAAACGAAATCTGAGAATGGATTGGAATTTACAAGCTCAGGCTCAGCCAACACTGAGACCACCAAAGTGACGGGCAGTCTGGAAACCAAGTACAGATGGACTGAGTGCGGCTTTATGTTTACAAAGAAATGGAACACCGACAATACACTAGGCACCGAGATTACTGTGGAAGATCAACTTGCACGTGGACTGAAGCTGACCTTCGATTCATCCTTCTCACCTAACACTGGGAAGAAAAATGCTAAAATCAAGACAGGGTACAAGCGGGAGCACATTAACCTGGGCTGCGACATGGATTTCCACATTACTGGGCCTTCCATCCGGGGTGCTCCGGTGCTGGATTAGGAGGGCTGGCTGGCCGGCTACCAGATGAATTTTGAGACTGCAAAATCCCGAGTGACCCAGAGCAACTTTGCAGTTCCTACAAGACTGCTAATTCCAGCTTCACACTAATGTGAATGACGGGACAGAGTTTGGCGGCTCCATTTACCAGAAAGTGAACAAGAAGTTGGAGACCGCTGTCAATCTCTCCTGGACAGCAGGAAACAGTAACAGGCGCTTGGGAATAGCAGCCAAGTATCAGATTGACCCTGACCCCTGCTTCTCGGCTAAAGTGAACAACTCCAGCCTGATAGGTTTAGGATACACTCATACTCTAAAGCCAGGTATCAAACTGACACCGTCAGCTCTTCTGGATGGCAAGAATGTCAATGCTGGTGGTCACAAGCTTGATCTAGGACTGGAATTTCAAGCATAAATTAATACTGTACAATTGTTTAATTTTAAACTATTTTGCAGCATAGGTACCTTCAGAATTTAGTATATCTTTTAATGTTGTATGTCTGGGATGCAAGTATTGCTAAATATGTTAGCCCTCCAGGTTAAAGATGATTCAGCTTTAAGATGTTACCTTTCCAGAGGGACAGATAAAATCCATCTCCAAAAAAGGTCCTTTCAGTGGTAGACTTGAGGGGGAACTTGGTGGCCCCTTTGAGATGCCAGGTTTCTTTTTTATCTAGAAATGGCTGCAAGTGGAAGCTGATAATATGCAGGCACTTTGTAAATTCATATTGAGTAAATGAATGAAATTGTGCTTTCCTGAGAATCGAACCTTGGTTTCCTAACCCTGATTGATGAGAGGCTCACTGCTTGATGGTGTGTAGAAACTCACCTGAATGGGACTTTTTTAGACAGATCTTCATGACCTGTTCCCACCCCAGTTCATCATCACCTCTTTTACACCAAAAGGTCTGCAGGGTGTGGTCACTGTTTCTTTTGTACCATTTTGGAGTGGAGAAGGTGGATGTGATGAAGCCAACAATTCAGGACTTAGTCCTTCTTGTGTTGTTGATGTTGTTGTTGTTGTTTTTGTTTTTTTTGTTTTTTTTTTGCCCTTGCACCAGTGTATGAAATAGCTTCCAGGAGCTCCAGCTATGAGCTTGGAAGTGTCTGTGTGATTGTAATCACATGGTGACAACACTCAGAATCTAAATTGGACTTCTGTTGTATTCTCACCACTCAATTTGTTTTTTAGTAGTTTAATGGGTACATTTTAGAATCTTCCATTATGTGTGAAATTTGATCCTCCAAATGCTGTAATTAACGTCACTTAAAAAAAACTTGAATAAAATATTGAAACAAAAAAAAATTCAATGCATGAACATGTTGTCTTTCCATATTGAACTACACAATGAATGTCACTTTGATAAAAATTTCAGGAGTGTTTTGGGAAATTGACACACTGATATTTTCAACAATTATTTGAAAGTGTAAACACCTAAGAGTAGCCTATTAAGGAGACCTAGCTTTATAAATCTTTATAGACCCAAACAAAATAGCAGAAAGTCCATCAAGCTGCCACATGTATGAGTTTTGCACTTCTCTCATCTTCTGTTGTTAGGGGATTGGAGCTAAACTAGCACTTTGGAAATTTCAGAAGCACAGAAATATAGTGTAAGAGAAACAAGCTTACCTTGGGGATGAGGTAGTTTCTGAACTTAATATCAGTGGTCACTGCGTGGGGTACACCGGTGGGGACAAGGTCAATGTATCTCTGGATCTCGTGTATTACAGCATCTGTGTAAGGCATGTGGCTCCTATCCTGCATGCAGGGGCTCCTGTGTCTGCCAATTACATGATCAATTTCTTCCTGGACTTTAGCTGACAAGACACAAGAAAGAACTGATGGAACATTTGTCATAGCAATTCATGGCCACATTAAACATGATGTAAAAATCCCAGCAACGTTACAAACATGAGTTACATGTGCAGAAGTACAACCAGCCATATAAAAAGAATTACCATAATATAGATACATATCATTCTCCTACAAACTAGTCATTACAGTGCATAAGTACATTTCTATAAATTAGCATATATGACAACTAATACAAATTTAAGTAATATATTATTTAAAAAATAAACAGAAGTCAAGAAATTACAGTGCTTGCAAACAGAAAAACAGGAATCAAATAGTATATGTATTACCAAATAATATATGGGGTATAATGTTAAATTGCAATGGTTTTGTAAATATATTTGCATGTGCGGTGGCGGGGCAGGGGCGGTGATGCAATTAGCACTGGTACTGTCTTCATTTTTCCACTTCCCATTGTGGCCACTTTAAGCATGCTAGCAGCTTCTTCTGAAATTTATATTTACATTTCTAAATATCCACTATTTCTTTCTATGTTTTACTAAACAATTTTTAGACAATATTTAATAATTTTCTGGTATGCGAGATGAGAATTTTTATCTCTATCTCTGTTCCATATACAGACGCATGCCCACAAAGTGATATTTGTACACACAGACACACACACACGCACGTATACACACACACAATTCTCCTCCTTCTACTTACCAGAATATATTTAGACCACAATTTCTGGTTATATCACTATTCATTGTTTATATCATTCTAAATATACTCACACAAGCACACACACACACACACATATTCTTCCTTGGTTCTTTAGTTAAATCACAATTTTCTATTCTTCAAGTTAGAGTATTTGCACATGTTTGAAACTCCTAGTAATAATTTCCCAATTATAGGGAAATCTCAGACTATCAATCACATCTCTTTGGTTCTTGAAGGCTCCTCTACATGCATTATTCACCTGGTCCCTTCTGAAGTGGTTGTTTCCTAGGAGCCCAGCAGCATCTCTGACACTCTCATTCTCTTACATGGGGTCCTCTGATTCCTGGCACCCTTAATTTCTTCTGACTTGGTTTCAGACATGAGATGGAGCACAATCCCCAGTATTGGAGAAAGTTAGTATAGAGGGTGAAATTTGTAACAAGCATGTAGGTCCCAAATACTTTTTTCTATGAATACACAACATAGTATGATTGGGAATTCTGATGCTGTCTGAATGCTGGTATTTTATATATGACTTGATATAACTCTCTGAAAGATTTTAATTTTTCCTTTAATTCTAGTGCTCTGAAATTCCATGACTTTGTGTCCTGTGATGGATGTTTTAATTTCATTCCCTCTGCTGAACACTTGTAGATAACTTTCTATTAAGATGGCAAAATACGAAGGTCTTTTCTCTAGACATGTTTCTTCTCTGGAGAATATCTACCTGCTGAATGTCAGGAAGCAAGATGAAGAAAAGTGCTGAGTCTTTGAATCTGAGGAATAGATATTTCCCAAACCTTTTTTTTCTGGCTTCACAGCTCACACTTTCCTGGCCCTGTAAAGTGTCCCCGAGTACAGGGGTTCTTAGGCTTAGTTTCTCTGGAGACTGTGCTTCTCTTTTCCAGTGGGAAAAAATCAGGTACCTGATAAAAGGAGTCATGGAGGAAACCTGGGCAGGAGAGCCTCCCTTTTCAGTCTCATTCCCTACCTTCTTTGGTCCTTGGTGCCTCCAAATACTGACCCTTATGAGAATCATAGTGACACAGATTTGCCTCTCCTCTTGATAAATCTTCCTCTGCTGATATTTGTTACAACTCCATCCCCTATGCTGTTTCAATTGTCAGCCCTCCATTGTCTCTCTGTGTCTCAGAAATTTGCCAAAGACTTATAGGCTGTTTTCTATTCTCCTCTCTTTTTACTTCAACAGGCTAATTTTAATTTGTAATTTAGTTATTGAAATTTCAGTGGGATCCTGACACAGGGAAGAAGGTATGTTATCTGCTGCCAAACAAGAACTATTTAAATGTAAATTTGAAGGAAATGTAAAGTTTACTCTAAAAGTAAATTGTAAATTCTAAAGAAAAGTTGTATGTGAAAGATGCAATTATTAACCTCCTTCCAAATATTCCTATTTGGTCAAAGAGCAGTTTTATGAAACACACTTCTGGAATAAAAAAATTCCTTTAGGTATGGTCTCTGCTTAAACAGAAACACCTTTTTTAGAAGCCTAACTTTTAGATTACTTCCCATACTGGAATTAATCACAGGATGCCTCAGTACAATTCTAGAATTCCACTGATACTTCAATAAGGATGTTTTCATCTCCCTACCTCAGCATTAGAGCATGGAATTTTCAAAATGAGAAAAGATATCTTCAAGAATGAACCTACTGTTCAAAGTGGACTTTTCATAATAAAACCAACATTCACTACTAGGCCAATTTATGCTGGCTCTCCCTACCACAAATTACCTCTGCTGAAATCCAGACACTTCATCAGGGCTTTATTTATTTTGCTACTGCCATACTGTTTTTGCTGATCTCAGTCATCCTCCTCCATTGTGTAAAGATGTCCTTTTTAATCATGTCATCAAATTTAGACAGATAACAGCTGATGACACAGAAATTTAAGGAATGAAGCTTCTCTGAGAGAAATAAGGTGGAGGACACTGGCACCATCTTCTCGGCATTGTTCTTAAATTCACTTTGTTCATCATCTTTGGTCCTACCTGTGACCTCTGGGTGCTTCAGCAGGAGCAGGAGTCCATATCTCAGAGTGGTGCTTGTTGTCTCTGTTCCAGCAACAAATAGATCAGCTACAGTGCCAACCAAGTTTTCAATAGTGAATTCTGACTCTTGGTTGTCCTTTTCCTAGAAATGATTTCATGCAATTATCTGACAAATTATGTGTCAGTATATCTAAATATACGAAATTTAAAAAAAAAAATACTATATTATAAAGTTAGCCAAAAGAGATACTGGACAGTACAGTATTAGAAAAAGCAACTGTATGGTATGGCAGAAGCTGCAGATCAGTTGACTCAAACTTTATTTCCTGATAGGCCTACAAGTTCCATTCATGAAACCATTTGCTGCTTAGGTTAGTCACACAGAATATTTCTTTCCTCAGAAATAAAAGCAGAAGTATACAGATGTCCTGTCTTAGTTCAATTTGTGTTATATAACAGAATACTATATACTTGGTAATTTGTAAAGAAAAGAAATTTATTTCTGATGATTCTGAAGGCTGGAAAGTCCAAGAGCATGGCACTTGCTTCTGGCAATGGCCTTCTTGCTACTTCATCATGTGGCAAAAAGTGGAAGGGCAAGAAAGAGTAAGAGTGAGAGCAAGGGTGGGGGCACAATCACATTTATAACAAGCTGTCAAGAACTACCCCACTCTTGCAATAATGACATGAGTATATTTATGAAGGCAGAACACTGATGACATAGTCATGTTTTGTTAGGCTGCACCCACCAACTCTGTTGCATTGGGCATTCACTTTTAACACATGAACTATAGAGGACACATTCAAACCAGAACATGAATCTTCTTCTATTTTTTCCTTATTACTCAAAACACAAATGTGAAGGAGGAATAGGATTGACATCATCTTTGGACATGAGCATTTGATCATAGTAATGAAGACTTCTATACTAAATATGGTATATAAAAAAAAAAAAGAAGGCACTTGACTCTCTCATGCTTAAGGGCTACCATATTATTTCTAGTCTAGCCCACCATAAGGCTTCTTGTATTTGAGATATATAAGCCAACTATTTGATTATGCTCTTGATATAGTTTGGATAATAAATATTTATCTCTCCCATCCTGATAATAAATGAGTTCACATAAGATCTGGTTGTTTAAAACTATTTCTCCAACTTGCTTCTCCTCTTGCCATGTGATGTGCCTGTTCTTGCTTTGCCTTCTGCTATGAGCAAATACTCCCTGAGGGCTCTGCAGAAGCTGAGCAGATGCCAGCATCATGCTCGTACAGCCTGCAGAACTGTTAGTCAATTGGGCCTCATTTTCTTATAAATTATCTGGCCTCAGATATTTCTTTGTAGCAATTCAAGAACAGCCTAACACATTCATTTTTATGATTTTTTATTATTTGTAAGTGAACACAATTTTAGTGTATAAATATAAGTAAATTAGGGCTATATCATGAAAAGTGTTACACTCTTGAATCAAGAGTTTGCAATTTTCTTCTGTCAAAAATTTACAAAGACTCAGTTACACCTACATATTCATTACAAAGCTGAAATGTGTGAAACAAATATGTCAACAAAACCAAGAATGAAATATAGTGAAAGATAATGAGTTCACAAAGACAAGACAGGTCTAACAAAATTGTAATCTAGATGGGAGGCAACAGGCAACTTGTTCTAAGGAATAAGTTCAGGAATAAATAGGAAAATACAAAGTGAAGAGAAATGGCAATTATTAATACAAAAACGTGAGGCATTAACTGCCTATATTGGATAAAGAAGAGTAGGGGTAATGCAAATGCCAAGGCTAAGGGACCAATTGAATAAAGTTCTCATAAATTGAAAGTGTGAATATACCTACAATGAGTAAAGTATTTGAATTAGTAATCAAGAACTCCACCCCACCCTCCCCACAAAAATAAAGTTCCAACTCAAGATTACTTCACTAGTGAATTCTACCAAAATAGTTGAAAAGAGCTCAGATCCAAGGGAAAAGGAAAGGGAACTTGTATGAAGAAGGTAATGTCCTCGAGAAGTCTCAAAACCACAGCCCACTCCAGTACTTGTGCTCATGAAGGCAAAGAAGGTCACCTTGACTTCAGATCCCAGCAGACTGCCAAATTGGGTAGGGAGGCTGAGAACACTCCTACCTGCCCTTTCCATGGATTACTAAGTCTCTCAGGGTTTCACCTCTGCCAGCTTCTTTTTACTTTATTTGTGTGTGTGTGTGTGCATGTGTGTATGTGTACGTGTTTGTGAGTTGTAGATTCTTCTTATGAATTGACCAATAAGCTCCATTGCTGTCTCTTTAACAGTCCATTTGGCGTATGATTATTCACCTGTAATATTGGCTCTTCCTTCTGAGAATAAATGATGATTCACATCTTTGTCAGCCAACTGGAAATCTCTGATGCTTCAGGCTATGGAAAGGTCTGAGAGATATACAGTGCTTGGGTTCCACTCTTTGCTACAAAGGAGGGCAATATTGAGTGGGGCTTAACTGGGCCTAACTGTGCTTGGTCTCCCAGGAGCAGGTGTAAGCACCACCTCTGATGAGGGTGGCAAGAGAGTGACATAGACTCTATAAGATTTACTCGGTTATAAATAGGCTTAGTGTGGTGATTTTCTCAAATGCCAGCTGTACTAGCAATGTACTGGGTTTGTGAACACACTGAAGATATTCTAATTAGCTGGGGTGATGTGGGTATAGTGTTAGCGGAGATAAGACAAAAGTTTTCTTCTTCCCAAATGTGTTATTTTGCCAGCAGATGTTGTAATAGGCTGTGCCTATTGGCTTCCAGCTAGGAGGTGGTTCTTGCAGGAGAGAGCCACCTACACTAGTAGCTGTGGGATTTGTGCTTGGCTTATATTACCCAGGGGAACATAGAGAAGAATGAAATATGATTCCTATATCTCACCATATACAAAAATTAACTCAAGATGGACTAAAGACTTAAATATGAGACTTGAAATCATAAAAATTCTAGACAAAAACCTAGAAAAAACTCTTCTGAGCATTGGTGTAGGCTAAGGATTTATGACTCAGTGTTTAAAAGCAATTTCAACAAAAATAATTGACAATGGGACCTAATTAAACTAAAGAGCTTCTGCACAGCAAAAGAAATGACAAGCAGAGTAAACAACCTACAGAATGGGAGAAAATATTTGCAAAATATACCTTCAACAAAGGACTATTTTCCAGAATCTACAAGAAACTCAAACAGCAAGAAAAAAAAATCCAAATAATCCTATTAAAAAGTGGGCAAACAACATGAACAGAAATTTCTCAAAGGAAGATACACAAATGAGAGAGTGGAGCAAGATGACAGAATAGAATGCTTCACTGATTATTCCCCATGCAAGGACATCAACTTAACAGCTATCTACACAAAGTGTACCTTCATAAGAACCAAAATCAGATGAGCATGCACAGTACCTAGATTTAAATGTATATCACTGAAAGAGGAACTGAAGAGATAGAAAAAATAGTATTGAATTACTGACATCCTCTCTTCCCCTGGCAGCAGTGGCATGGTTCAGAGAGTGTTTCTGAGTACTGAAGGAGGGAGAACACAGTAATTATACAGCATAAAATTAATGCTGTTCTGTTATGGCAGGAGGGAAAACAGGCCAAATTCAGCTGATGCCCACTCACAGAGGGAGCATTTAAACCAGCCCTGGCCTGAGGTGAATCTCTGATACCAGTGGTTGGAACCAAGTTTCTACAAGCCTCATCACTGTGGACTATAGGGCTCTGGGACTATAAATAAACTTGAAAGACAGACTTGGCTACAAGGATTGTAACTTTTATGTGAGTCCTAGTTCTGAACTGGGCCCAGAGACAGTAGAGCGGTGGTGGGAGGTGCAACTTACTGAAATACCAGCTGAAGATGGGTAAGGGAGTGCTGGCATCCCCCCTCTCCTAATCCCAAGCTGCACAGTTTTCACTTCCAAAAGAAACTCCTTTCTTCTGCTTGAGGAGTGGGGGCTTGAATAGCTAGCAGCAATACCCAGGTACTATGTTGAGGACTTTGGGTAAGACTTTGAGACTTGCTGGCTTAGGTAAGACTCAACACATTCCCAGCTAGCTGGCTATCAGGAAAGACTCCTTCTACTTGAGAAATCAGAGTAAAATATAAAGGCGACTTTGTCTCGCAACTAGGTATCAGCTTGATCACAGGTGGGTAGAGCACCAAGGGCACTCCTGGAGTCTCCAAAACCAGGACTTGGCTCTTGTGCAGGGCCTAGTATTCTGAATGGGCCTTTGATAGCACTGCTCAAGGGGTGAGACTCCACTGCCCTTGGAAAGGAAAGGGAAGAGTGAGAAGGACTGCATTTTGTGGTTTAAGTGCCAGATCAGCTGCAGTACAACATAACACCAAATAGATTTCTAAGGTTTTTGACTCTTGCCCCTGGCTTCTAGGTGGTACCTCTGTGCATGCCTGGGTACTGGAAGAATTTGCTGCACTGAAGGGAAGGACACAGGCCTGACTGGATTCACCACCAGCTGATTGTAGAGCCCCAGATGCTTGGAAACATAGACAGTAGCCAGGGAGTGGTT